AGCGAATTTGGAAACATTCGAAGAGAAACAACAATCGTTCCAGTTATAAGCAGCTAAGAAATCACGGAAACTGTCCCAGTTGGCTGAGTTGTAGCGCCAGAATGTGTGTCTCGAGGTACGTGATGGCTCAGAGTTTGAAAACCTAATAGAGCAAGAAACAATACAGTGATCTGATGAGCCAAGATAAGGGAGGGTACGAACATTTGAGAAGAAAGAAAAGACCGAAGTGAGAATTACATCGAGGGTGTGGGCACGATCGCCAGCTCGATCAGGGACACGTGCGAGGTCAACTAGTTGGCTGAGGTTATTGACCAAGGCGAAGTGTTCGGCTTCGCGCCCTAAAGGAGAAGTAGCAGGTGAATGTGTCAACCAGTCCTGATTGTGAACGTTGAAATCTCCCAAGATGGTAAAATGGCAGTTGGGGTCGGTTGCTGACAACTGTTCAATGTTTGAAGAGATAGAAAATCAAAGATGGAAGAGTCGCTGCTATTGGGGGAATGATAAAGAACACAAAAATAATGATTAAAGGAAGGAAGTCGGAGTTTCAGCCACATCAGCTGAAATTCACGACTGGAAAAGTCTAGATTTGGGATCCTGGAGGCGGCGACTGATTGGTGAATAAAGGCGCAGCTTTGGGTAGAAAGGAGGAGTGGAGAGTGCAGTTGATGAATTGATGGTCGGTGGTGGCTACCGAGGGGGAGATTTGTGTTTCGGTCAAAAAAGGGCAAGCGGAGAAGAATGGAAAAAGTGGTGTACAGAATCATTATTGCGGTTCAGTCCGCGAATGGTGGGTGAGGGTGATGAATGCGTGTTTACAGTCTGAGTGGATAGAGCGAGCGGGAGTACGTGAGTGTTCGTGATTCTGTATATTCATGTATATGTTGTGAGCAAACCGGCAACCATGATCCTGAAACTTGGAGTGGCGGACCACTTAAGGATTCAATAGATCAGGCGTGGTAGTGAGCCGGGCTACGGCAAAGCCGCCTACCACCCAAAGGGTGGTGAAAGCTGACCATTGGCCCTGACCCTACCTGAGGTGTGACGATACAACTCTTTGAGGATCGATACACTTCTCAGATTCTCCATTCATCAACAAACAGTTCCATAGTGCGATCCTATCAACAGAATCGAAGGCCGCGCGAATGTCTAAGAATACGATGATCGTTGGTCTTTGGTAGACACGACGGTGCTCTAGCAGCTGTCGGAGGTTGAAGATTTGATCGATGCATCCACGACCGGCGCGAAGCCCTGCCTGCTCCTCTCGGGTCTGCTCCTCGCGCAGTGTACAATCGGCGGAGAATGACGGATGCCAACAGCGTTGACGCTATCGGGATGAGGCTTATACCCCTATGATTGGTGTAGGTATTGCGCGGCCCCTTTCTGAATAGGGGCGACAGTCAATTCCCCCCACGATCAGGGGACTTGCTCAGTGTTCCACACTTAAGAGAACAGAACTTGTAGTTCTCTTTATTCCACCATCTTTAAATAGAGCAGGGGGAAGGCCATCGGAGCCCGGCGCTTTGTGGCGTCCCAAGTCTTGGATCTCCTAGCGGATTTCCGCCTCAGAAGGTGGGTCTGTTGTTTCAGACCATGGGACGTGTGTCGGAATAGCTGTGTGAGAAGCCGACGGTAGCCAGCCGAACTGTGCATTGAAGTGCTCCTCCCAGCGTGCAGGATGTCGCTGTTGATTATGAATGGGCAAACTGTCAGCTTCGATGATCGTTTCTGTCTTACCCAAGGCTTTTCTACCTCTGACCTGGATGAGATGAAACAGCTGACAGGAATTTCTCATGGCAGCTGCACGTTCCATCTCTGACGCGCACGGGGTCCACGAGATCTCGCGGTCTTTGCGTAAGCTTGCGTTCAGGTTATGACTCTTTGCTCGTCGTACTTCATTATGCTCGCTGCTGGTTGGGATTGATCGGCCTGCGTCGAGAAGGTGTGGAGATTCCGCAGAAACCCAGGGTGTCGCGGCACGATGTTTCAGACCACAACTGACTAAGCCAGCAGAATGCAGAGCATTCTTAATAAGCGACCAGTGCTGGTTAACGTTATCAAGTGGGGTTGATTCTAGCTGTTCAGCCAGCTCGTTCGAAAAGACAGTTAGGCGTGCTCATTCAGACAACTTATCACGGTCTAACCGTCTATGTGTCATGCGTTTGGAACGTCTACCGAAGCACCTGGACAGCTTGGCGCAAACTAACGCGTGGTCGGATTCGAGGGCAGTGCTCCAGTACGATCGGCGTTCTTGTATGCAACTCCGTCATTTGTGGCTTATGGCGATGTGGTCGATCCGCGTCCGTCTCTGACTCAAGGAGGGCGGATGCCAGGTGGCGTACCGGCAGTTGGAGCTTCTGAAGTTCGTACTGGCGAGGCGGTGGTCATAACATAGAGCCAACAGCCGTTCTCCGTTTTCCGAGCGACAGGAGTCAAGTCCGAAAAGACGACCCAGATGCACATCACTCGAAGTCAATTGGCCTACTCCAGCATTCATATCTACTGCTAAAATCTCGATATCAGCCCATTTACCTTACGCAGGAGATCGTCTAGGTTATGATAAAATTCATCTTTGACTGTATCTGTGCTGCAGTCCGTTGACGCGTACACCGACACGACAAACAGGTTTCGTTTATCGGGGCGACGGCTGTTTACTTCGCACGAACCTCTAAGTCTCACTGCGCACAATCTGCTGTTGACTGGGATCCAATCTAGGAGCGCGGTTTCAGCTCTCACTGAGAGCCACGCCAACGCCAGCAAGACCAGAAGCCGCAGCCCCGGGTCCCCATAGAGGCGTAAGTGAAACTTCACTGATGGGTGTGATGGGGACATCAATCGGATAATGGAGCTAGAGTTTTGAATGCGAGTTTAGGGGATACAACACACATCGATAGCTAGGTTCTCGAGCGTTCGAGCTAAACCGGATTGTTATTCTATGCTCATCAGAGTGCGCACATTAAATGTGGCTAGTTTGAATGGGCATCGACGTGAAGAAGGGCATCAGCTGGTGGAGGGTTCGGCGAGACTTGGACGGCAGTCGAGAGAACAGCGGCAGAGTTTCCATTTGAGGCACTACTGTTGACACGATTGTCTGAAGATCTCGAGGAAGGGAGTGGGTTAAACGGGTGAAGGTAGGGGGCATGAATGTGTGTACCGGAGTAGAGGGTTTGTCTCTAGTTGCAGAAATTGTAGACTGAATGCACATAGAAGTCGAAGAGTTCATAGTTGCTGGCGATGTGGGCTGTTGTACTACTCGGTCGCCCGGTCCAGAGTAGATTAGTTAAAGTAGAAAGAGTGAACACCATAGTTGCTAGGATCTATTGTTCAGTTTTGGGGACTGGCAACCTGGTACTTCTAGTGAAAAGCCAAACTACCACCCACCAAAGTTGAGTGGTGTCGATGGTGCATCTGTTATCTCAAGGGTTCGCGGCTTGAATCTTGAGATCCGATGCCACTGCCTTCTTTCAAAAGGATAGAATGATAACAAGTGGTATCGGTCGTTACTTGACACTACTGTTGGACGGCGTTTCGAATTTCCCAAGTTTTTATATGTAATTTGACCACACAGCTTTCGTTTTGCATCATTTCCACCATTTGTGTACCATGTCATCAGTGATTCTTTTGCAGTAATAAAAGTTAAAGTGAGCCCATACCAGATAAGAGTGAGCTTGTTGCTCCACATTGTGGCATGATTATTGCGAGTGATATTTTGCTCCGTTTCTTTTCCTACTCTCCCGCTGGTTCTATCATCCGCTTGAATTCAACTAGTCGTCTTGCCCACGGGATTGGATATTCTGGTGCAAGCGACTCGTTTCACAGAACTTTTATTCCTATCCGAACCGGATGCCACGTCTACTGCTGAA